TGGTCCAACGGTCATAACAAAGTCGCATGACGTGTGCGGCCCACCTTATCTTCGATTCATTGGCGAAAACGGCAGCGTCCCTGATCTTCGATCGTTGGCGTAGTTCGGAACTCCGGATTCCCCTCTGCACTTGCGTGTATAGGGTTACTCCTAGCATCGTCCTCTCGACAGCGCGTTGGATAACGCTGACCGCATGCTCGTCCTGCCTGCGCAGAGTCCAAGTCTCTGAGGCGTAGGTTAGGGCAGGAAGGACAGCGGAATCGAAGAGGTGGGCACGGAGCCGGATGTTCTTCGTCTTCTTCACTACTCCCTCGATGTTCTTGTACGCTCCCCAAGCCGCTCGTTTCCTCCTGCTCAGCTCTGGAGCTAGATCGTTCATCATATTGATTTCCCGACCTAGGTACACGTAGCTGGAGCATTCGGTGATGTTCGTTCCGTTGAGCGTGAATGGGGCATCAGGAACCAATCCGTTTCTCATATCGTCTTCGTTAGGTTCAGCTGCAGACCGACCTTACCACAGGCGCAGTCGAAATCAGCCAGCATTCGCTCCGCTTGCTCGATGTTCGGCGTTATAAGAACGATGTCGTCAGCAAAACGAAGGTGGTGTAGTTGCCGGCCGTCGACCTTCACTCCCATGTCTTCCCATTCCAGTTGACGCATGACGTTCTCGAGAGCGGCGCTGAAGAGTTTGGGCGAGATGGTGTCGCCCTCTTCGGCCCTGTGAAACTCTTTTCACCTCGGCGATGTTGTAGAATGGTGGGGTTCTGGTCGTAATGTTGCTGTAGAGCCCGCAAAGAATCCAGGGGAATGGCATATAAAGTAGCGCTCAGAAGTCTTCGGTCGAATATTTTTTCCATATCTGGTTTGTGTTTCAAATTGAAGCCGTATAAACATGAAATCACCAACTCCTATCTGGTGGTGGGCCAAATGGCAAGAAAGTAGCGGTACAACTAGATGTTGCTTCGACCTTTCAACAGATGTAATTCCTCGATCGTTTTAATTATTGGGAAAATGTTTGTGGTCGATTCATTTTCTATGAAGCGCTCTGAAGGATCTTTGCAAGTCATAGACCAACTTCAGTCAAGCGGCTGACTCATGGGTTTCTCATCGCGGTTAATGACATTGTTGCTGTTCGTAAAAGTAGGCACAAAGGATTTTAAACTCAGTTGATATGACGGATTAAATATGTGTTGGCAGGAAATCGTGGGACATTTTTGCGGAGCATAGAGCCCGCACACAAAGCGAAAGCTGGACAAGTGTGGTGCAAAGCACAGCTGTCTGAAAATCACTGCGTGTAAGGAAGGGTCTTGTAGTCTCTCCCTTTGAATTAAGAGGATCATATGTATCGCGTATGCTGCACACAAAATGCTCTGAGCGCCGTCAAAATTTCGAAGAGCAGGAGAAATTACTCAAGAAATTCTTATATGGCTCTAACCTGTCTGCACACCATAGTCGGTATCCACTGAAGGGCTCGCTGCTGTATTAATGCACATGGCGAGCTCTTTAAGAAATATTTTTTTTGTTTGCAACCTTCAATGAATATATTTCTCTTAACATTGGTCCTTTTTAGCTTCATCGATTTTTTATGACCACTTGGTCACCGTAATTTGTTGCCGTCCTGTAGCCTCACTGTTTAAGGGTTGCGGTGGTGGTGCTTCCAAAAGAATGGATTCAAGATTCCATTCTTGTTACGAAATCCTCCAAAAGTAATGAAACTGTATGCTGTTTTCGATCGGTTGGTGCTTCTGCCAGAGTAATGAACTTCGGCTTTGATTATTTGAGATCCTCGCAACTTCCAGGCCTGTTATACCCTCGATCACCCAATTCATTATCTATGTACCAGAAACGAATAGATGACACATGGTGCATCGGAAATGCTTTTTCAACAGAACCAGTCCTAATCATATTTCTATTCACTCTTGGACATTTTTCAATATTATCTGCGCAAGAAAAACTTCGGAATAATGTACTATATTAGACTGCCATCCCCCAAGTTTACGCACGTTTCTGGCCAGGATTGCAAAACATGACTCACTCTCTGTAATCGAGACTATAACCTTTGACATTGCTCCAGTCAAAGAAGGCTACTGCGTAAGTGTTGTTAGCTTTGAATTCCACACTTTTAATACTATTTAGGACTATTATAATAGCAGTTTTGTTGCCTATGTATAAGCTTCCTTTTTGCATATCCTTTTTGCGCTTTTCAGATGTCAATGACGCCGAAAGTGTTGCTGGAAAAGACTGCAAACTCGGATCTCACTCAAAACGATCGCTCTGTCTCACAGTTTATGGAGCTTATCTTCAATCAGATTGCTATCATGAATCCGTCAGCTTGATCACAACGATTTCCTTACGCTTTTTTTGCTCTATTCCTGTGTATAACTCGCTTTATAGGCAGGAACATGCGGTGTTCGAGAATGGGAAGGTGTTCATGGTTCATCCGTGGAATTTTGGCTTCAATAGGCAGGATTGCCCAGATGTTGGAGGGGGAAAGAGACTTTTCCCTGGTACACAAAAGAGTGTGCGGTTCATCGAGGGACCAAATGGGCGTGATTACAACAATCCAGCTCTCATTATTGATGGTTGGTGGTTTGGTTTTGGAACATCACATTGCTTATTCGGGACCATGACTCGTACAAGTTAAGGATCTCTGAGAGGCAAGACGAAATGAAAAACCTCAGAGGATTCACCCAGTCTTCAATCTTTTCATCTTTAGTGTTCCATCTGGAGAGCTTTCGCTGGATGTAGTCTTTTTCGGGCCCATTTTGCATTATATTGACTCACCCTTTGGCACATTGACGAAAGCGCGACGCGCGTGCGGTTCTCACCCTTGTCACCTTTTTTGCCCATGCACAGCATCTTTTCCGTTTTTTGTGTGTTCTTGCTCTTTGGGTCGCTTCATAGCACAATTACAAACATATTGGCTTTACAGACTGGGTGAAGCGCTTTGATATAGGTGAGGCTTCCCGGGCCTGATGGAATCGGCGTAGTTCTGTCTTAGTTTTCTTCATATTCTCCCAAATATTTAGAAAGGAAGTGTAGTAGAAGTAAACGTAAGCCTATATGGGTGGCAAGGCATCTGTTATCAAAGAACCAAGTTAGGCTCACTTTTGACGTCCGCAGCAGCAAAAGTTTTTCAAATTCGCTTGCCATAACATGTGCTTTTATTTATTGTACCATCGTACAGACAAATAACTTTTAAGATGAGCATCGTTGAAATTATTCTGTGCCATTCATTTTCGTGTTTTCACCACTTAAAATCCACGGGTGTGTGTGATGGCTACAGCCCAGAAAGGAAACACGCACTTTGTCTCTGTCAATGCTATAGAATGCGTAGAAGACTTCCGTGATTGCCTGAGTGCTACAACGTCTTTTTTGATCGCTGTGCGAATATGTTGTGCCGTTTTTGCCTTTCCAAGTATGTAACTCATCCGCCAAC